ACTTTCCTGCCCAGGCTGGCTTTGAACTATGATCCTCAGATCTCAGTCTTCTTTTTTTTTTTTTGGGTCCGGTCGTGGGGCCTGAACTCTGGGCCTGGGCGCTGTCCCTCAGCTCTTCAGCTCAAGGCTAGCACTCTACCACTTGAGCCACAGCGCCACTTCCGGCTTTTTTCTGTTTGCTTATGTGGTGTTGAGGAATCGAACCCAGGGCCTCATGCATGCAAGGCAAGCGCTCTACCACTGAGCCACCTTCCCAGCCCCCAGATCTCAGTCTTCTGAGTAGCTAAGATTACAGATGTGATCAATAGTGCCCAGCTAGCCCTTTCCTTTTTTAAATAGGGTCTTATGTTTATGTCTGGGCTGGTTTGGCCATAATCATCCTAGTTAGGCTTTTAGCATAGCTGAGATGACCGGCATGCATCACTGTGCCCCAGCTTTTTATTGGTTGAGATGAGGTCTTGCAAATATTTTTGGCCAGGACTGTGATCCTCCTGACTTATGCCTCTGACGTTGTGAAGATTATAGACATGATCTAGTAGATCCTGTTCTATGTATTCCTTGGATCTTCCATAAGTACTCTTCAAGGTTTGAACATGAACCCCAGTTCACCATGAAGAATGTGAGTGTGTTCTCATTTGGCCTGGGGGTACTGACTGAAGGCGCAGGGAGGCCTTCGGGAACTCCTGGGTGGGGCCTCCAGTGTTGCTCCTTCTGTTCTGGAAGCAGCTGGGCATTCATTCAACAGATGTCTATGGTGGGTCTGCTGGGTCCCATCTTGACCTGGGCTACAATGGAAATGACAAATTTGGGAAAGGCTCTGCCCTCCCAGAACTTATCTGTGAAAGAAGGCAGAGCAGCACACGCAGCCGTTTAGGGTTAAGGCTGTGATGCAAACTTGTTTTAGATTTGCTCTGGCCTTGTCTTTTCAAGGGATTTGAGGCAGAAAAGAAACCAAACATAATGAAGTTGTTAGAATATAAATAAGACACAGAAATCAAGCCGAGGGAAGTACATGAATTAGAAAGGCACAGAACTGAGGAAGAAAAATCCATAGTTATGCAAGTCATAAGGATCCACTTGAACTGAACCTCAGGTTTGGCATTGAGTATCCTGGCAGCCATATTGAAAAGGGAAATATGGTTAGTTACAAAGCACTTACAGTCAGAAAGGAAAAGACCAGTTCCTCAGGGAAAGAAAGCCTTTCCTAACACTTGGCTCTTGACAACATGTCTCACGCACAGCTTCCTTCCGATGGTCTCTAAGAGTATTCCTATAGTGACTACAAAAGTAGATTATATAAGACAGGGCTGTAAAAAGTGCTCAGTGAGGACTGGGAAGGTGGCTCAGTGGTAGAGGGCATGCCTAGCATGCATGAGGCCCTGGGTTCAATTCCCCAGCATCATATAAGCAGAAAAAGCCAGAAGTGGCGCTGTGGCTCAAGTGGTAGAGCATTAGCTTTGAGCTGAAGAGCTGAGAGACAGCGCCCAGGCCCAGAGTTCAAGCCCCATGTTCAACCCTCCCCACCCCCCCCCCAAAAAAAAAGTGCTCAATGAAAGCAAAGGCATACAATAAAAGGCAATTGGCTAAGTCCCTGTCTGTCAGGAGCCGGTGGGCCATTCGATTGGGGCCCAGTATAGGCCAGTTGAATCTATGGCTAAAGTTAGAACACCTGGAAAATGGAGGGCTGGAACACCCTGAGAACATGCTTCATGAACTGTATTTCTCTGTACTGAGTTTTTCTGGCATAGGGGTGAAGAGTAAACTGGTCATTGTGTACATAATGTAGTGATTTTCATCAGAAGTCATCTGGGTATTGGATATTTTAGGGCTTGTGGACCAGATGATCTATCATAACTAACTGTTGTAATGCACAGGCAGTCATGCCAATGCATGCCAGAAGCGTGATTATGTCCCAGGAAAAAAATTTTTTTTTGGTTAGTCATGGTGCCTGAACTCTGGGCCTGGGCACTGTCCCTGAGCTCTTCAGCTCAAGGCTAGTGCTCTACCACTTGAGCCACAGCACCACTTCTGGCTTTTTCTGCTTATGTGGTGCTGAGGAATCGAACCCAGGGCCTCATGCATGCAAGGCAAGCAGACTACCACTGAGCCACCTTCCCAGCCCCAGTGTGCCAGTAAGACTTGATTTACAAAAGTAGGTGGCAGGTTAGATTTCCCCTGCAGGCAGTATATTGCCAACCCTTGGACTAACCTAAGAAGAGAAAGGAAAGTGACTTTCTAGTTTGGTTTTCATTGCAGTTAAGGAATGGCTAGGATTTGGCAAGCCTTGTTCGGTGGTGACTTTGTCCTTGCTGTTTAATGGATAGTAGCTGATGCTTCTTGCTGGAAAGAGCAAGGCTTGTTCTTGGGTTGGAAATTCATCAGGCGCTGTGAAGATGTATGCAGGTCTCAAAGCAATCCAATCCAGATATTTGCCCATGAAAGTGGCACTTGCTGGGGGTTATTGAAGCACTGAAATGGGGCGGGTCTAAAGAGCCTTGGATTCCAGGTGGTGAAGGGCACTCTCATGATTGTCCACACTTGGACCATCTCCCAAATAGCAGAACTCCATTGAGATCTCATGGTTGGTGTCCTGGGAAAGAGAGAAGAGGTGGAGCTATCTCCAATGGTCTGGTGTGTCATCATTTCAAGTGCAAAATTATCCTGCCTACCAGATGTTGATTGCAACCATCAATCATTTATGACTGTAGCAAATAATATAACCAATAAGAGGATGGCTACCCTCATGGGATCTCATTGTAAAAAGGCTTAGTTATGAGCAGATGACACATGGCGATGGTTTGTTACAATTTGAATTCTGAAGTCCTTCCCATCGGCCATAAACAAGTCTAAGAGGTCAATTGTGTAATAGAGGCGGAGTGTGGAAGGTCATCAGAAGAGGTGACCTCAAGTTATTTGTCATCTGCAACAACAGGTGTGTAATAGGTCAGTCTTAGAATTGCTCTAACCAGTGATTGGATAAGCCATACATGGTTTGTATCAGTTATAGATTGGTGTGACAGTAAAAATGTAGGCTTAAATAAATGCAGCTTCCAAAGAGTTTGTGAAAAATAAAACAACCACTGACAACAAAAACATTGCTGTAGCTGGGCTCCAGTGGCTCACACCTATAATCCTAGCTACTTCAGATGCTGAGATCTGAGGATTACAGTCAGGAAAGTCCTGAGATTCACCTCTAGATTTAACCAACACAAAAGCCAGAAGTGGAGGTATGGCTCAAAAACACCAGGCTTTAGCAAAAAAGCCAAGCTAGAGTGTGAGGCCCTGAGTTCAAGCCACAGGGCTAGTACCACCCCTCCCCCACAAAAAGTAAAACCATTGCTGAGCACTTCGGGGGCTTTGTTATTGTTAGTTTGGACATAATTTGGTACATGTTGCTCTTTGAATCCTAGATCATTCATTCATTCTCTCCATTTTGTTGACTATTCCTCTCTCCAGCAGCAAAAAGTAGTTAAGAAGATGGCTTCTGATTATTATAGTAGACAGTTCCAGGCTTATGGATGGCAAATTCTGTGTCTTCATATGCTCAAGACTTAGCCCAGTTCCTAACCTATAAGGACCAATGTTTAGTGGTCAACGAATGAATCCCAAATTCTGTCTTCCTGTTCACAAAGCTATAGTGTAACTGGTTGCCAGTTAAGGAAATGGCGCTTATTTGTTTTGGTTGAACCACTCTAAAAGACCATAGCATTTGGTGTGGGAATGGGGACAGAATTTGCCTATACAAGCTGAAGGCTATTCAGAGAGAATCACCGAGCCTGATCCCTCCCTCCCCCAAGGCTCACCAGGTGGGGTAGGGGTAAGAAACTGGTAGTCAGACTTATGCAGCAGATATGATACAATTGTAATAACAGATTATTATTCATAAGCAAGATTTGAAGCCAGAGAGGGCTCAGAGACAGATTGCTTAGGAAAAAGGTCTGATAACCAAACCACCTGAGACATGTTCTCAGACATCTACCTGACATTTTATTCTTTATTTTTCCTTCCCCTGGCCCCTGGCAATATTCTTATAGACAGGAATTACTTTATGACTCAGGAGACAGGTTTTCCTTCAGCAGATGATAGGATCTGATCTTATGGTCGTGATTTTTAAATGTCCCTCGTCACTGAAGGGTAGAAATATAGACATTAGGGACATTGGGCGCCAACAACAAATGAATCTTGGGCAGCAATAGTAGGTGTGGCCATCACTGTGCCCTCATCTCACCCTGGTAGCTAGGACTAAGAAGGAAGGAGAAGGAAGGAGAAGGAAGGAGAAGGAAGGGGAAGGAGAGCTAGATGGGACCCGCAGAGCTCGGCATTTTGTTATAGGTAGGGCTCTATTGTTACCAGAAGAATATAGGAATGGGATGGAGAGGGGGAAAGGGGGCTGGAAATGAACTTCAACATTATGTTGAAGCAGCCTTAACCTTAAAATGGGTAAGTTTTTGGCATGGTGGTGCACACCACCCAGACATGCCAATCTCAGCATTTGAAGGCAGAGGCAGAAGCTGAAGCGTGTGAGTTCAGGGTCAGCCTGGGGTACATAATGAGACCCTATCTCAAGAATCAAAGCGAAACAAAACAGGGCCATTTTTCTTATTGACTACTCAATAAATTGCTTACTCCCATTGCATCCAGAGAACTTAGACCTAATGAACTTTGGCTCTGGGAACATTTGCGAAATGTCTTCCTATTCTTGTTACCTCTACGTTCTGATGCTCATGGTACCAAGACCAAGAAAACCTGAGCATCTGTTTCTTGTTTTGCTCCTAACCTCCCACCAACATCAGGCAGAGACAGCAGAAACAGAATAAAGACACAAAAGATACCTTAAGGAGCTTTTAAGTTTACCACATAGCCCAACTTGAGGTCTGATTGGCAGTTGTCATCACCTTGATGAGTTTTAGGTCATAGAGTGACTCTGATGTCCACTGAAGGTATCATTTCTGTGTTGTTCATTCTTATTCATTCGTTCATTTGGATGTTCTCCATCTCAGGGTTTGAGGATCATTTTCTCCAATGCATCAAGACTCATCTTCCGGCTCAGTTCCTCCAGTGGTGTGCGGGCCACCATCAGACTCTATGCGGAGAGCTACGAAAGGGACCCCAGTGGCCATGACCAGGAGCCTCAGGTATTACAGTAATGGGTATCTCATCATCCCTAGAAAATGGAGAGTGCTCTCCACGTTCTTATATCTGGAAAGATAGCATTGAGAGTGCTGACTGAAGGCAAGTTGAGTGTGACTTTGAATACATTTAAGTCCACTTTGCAGTGTTTAAAACAGAATCCTGCTGGGCACCAGTGGCTCACTTCTGTAATCCTAGCTACACAGGAGGCTGAGAACTGAGGATCGTGGTCCAAAGCCAGCCTGGGCAAGAAAGTCCATGAGACTCTATGTCCAATTAACCACCAGAAGACCAGAAGTGGTGCTGTGGCTCTAGTGGTAGAGCGTTCCCCTTGAGCTGAAGAGCAGAGGGACAGCGCCCAGGCCCAGAGTTCAACCCCCATGACCTACAAAAAACAAACAACCAAAACACCAGAAACCTATCACTCCCTTAGCATCTATAGTAAAATCACAACATTTCCCAAACAACTCGTGCTCTTCTACAGTGTCACTGGCATGACAGTAAGAAAAGGCATTGTGTAAAGATGAATTAAAATTCTGGGTTAAAGCAGGAGCAGGCAGAGCAGGTGGCAGCCTTCCTCCCTGGGGCTTTCCTCTAACCATCACAGGCTTTCCATGCTGAAGATAAGGGTTAGGCTGCCAGAATCATTTGCTAGTGAGTACATTTTGCCCAAGATAGTACCAAATCATGCCATAAGTAGATAGGGGCTTACCCTTTCTTTCCGAATAAAACTCTGTTCGGTGTCTCATGTTGGGAAAGGAGTTTAAAGGGAAAGGCCTGCAAGTCCAGGAGTGCATACCGGGTAGGAATATTCCTGGCCTTTCTAGCTCTGACTCACTCTGACTTGGATCTATTTTTTCCCTCAGCATTCTTTTCCCTATTTGCCCAGGGTAAGTGCTTATGATACTTGCCTATATTTCTATTTATTCACTTATCATTCTCCCTGAACTCAGCCTAGAACCATTAGCCCTGGGTGAAACCAATTCTATACCCAAATGAGTCTGTCTCTGAGGTGGTCCATAAAGCAAAGTAGTGGTTTTTATAAAGCTTACGTTGAAGCCCCACAGCTCCCTAGGCCTGCTTTCAGTGCACTGCTCTTCTAGTCCCTACTACTACATATTTTTCACCCTGCTAGTGTAGAGTTTGTCAGTTTGTCAGAATGGCTTGGGGAACGCTTCTTGAAGTTGTTCTTCTGACCACTAATATTCTCCTACTCTAACCATGAGGACCTAATTAGATAGGCCTGTATTCTCAGCGCATGATCTAGCTAAAAAATTTGTATTAAAATAGCATATATTATTGACTCACTAACTTATGCCCTATTGCACAATATATTGAGGTCAGGATACAGAATAGACAGTTGTAAGAGAAATAAACCCCTGAGAGGAAGAGAAAACGGCTCAGCAGGCCTACCTGTGCTCCTCATTACCTAGCCCCAGCTAGCCTTGACATCCAAGTATTTTGAGGCTTTTTGTTTTTGTCAGTCATGGGGCTTGAACTCAGGGCCTGAGAGCTTTCACTCAAGGCTACTTGAGTCACAGCACCACTTCCAGTTTTATAGTGGTTAATTGGAGATAAGTGTCTCCCGGACACTTATCTTCAACTTGCAATCCTCAGATCTTAGCCTCCTGAATAATCAGGATTATAGGCATCAGCCACCAGTGCCTGGCTCCTTTTTGAGGCTTCTTATTTTGAGGAAAGTGTTTGTTTCCAGTGCCACCTGCCTATCTTCCTAGGGCTGAGGGAGGAAAAGGTGTTGGTTAATTGTTAACAAAGATCAAGGATAAGATACACTCAGAGAGTAGTGTGGTACTTACTAGTGTCGATTCAGGGCTCAACAGGCCAAGACTAGTTTGTATTGCTCTCCCAGCTGCAGAGAGAACCCTGTCTACCTTTTCAGCTTGTTCTTGCTTGCATCCTGAAAGCCACGTACACTCATTATCCATTAAAGTAAGTCACCTGTAGAGATTCCATCCGTAATTTTCACCCACTTCAGCAGGTTGTTCTTAATGTTTTACCTGCCCTAACCCAGTAGTCATAAACATCCAAGAGAACAGAAAGTTTCCAACAGGCTTATTGATATCGAGCTATTTCCCTTAGCACAGAGAATCATTTCCTTTTGAGACATTTAAAACTATATGTGAACATACTTATGTTTTAAACACGTACATCGGCAGTCTCCTGCAAATCTTAATTACTATCTCAATGCTTCAACTGGGGATAGAGGCAATATGTATGTGAATCTCCACCCCCTACATGTAGCTTTTCAAAGATTCAGCCATTTATTTTAAGGTGATGTCAAATTAATTTCTTTTGTACTCCTACATGTAGATTTTCTGTGATGAAGCCACTTGTTTTAAGATGATGTCGTTAATTTCTTACCTACATAAATTAAAAAAAAAATTGTGCTGGTACGGGACCTTGAACTCAAAACCTTTTGTTCACATTTGGGTTGCTTGCTCACAGCTGCTGTTCTATCACTTGAACCAGGCTTCCAGCCCAGCTTTTTGCTACTTACTTGGAGAGAGATCCTCAAGGAGGATCAAGCTTCCTGAATAGCTAGGATTGTAGTTATGATCCATCAATGTCCGGCTTATATAAAAATATGTTAAAACTCCTATTTGCTTATGAGTTGGTGATAAGTAGAGGAAAGACATGGGCGGGCCTAGAGGAGATAAGGGGTTTGTGTTGCCCTCTGTTCTTGACCTATCAGGAAGGAAAGCAACTAAAGGTTGATGGCTGGAAAGTTACACAGTTTTTCAACTGGGAGATTGATTTTACTGGCAGTCAGTAGGCCTTCGATGAGCTCTCAAACCGGCTGGTAATAATTTGGAAATAAAAAAAGGTTGAGCCAAAATGATTTTAATTCACAGGTAACCAGAAACAGGCCAATGGTTTCCATCTTCTATTCTTTCCCATCTTATTAGCAGGACTGCTAAATTCACTTTGAATTTGCCTTCTCCCCTTGTCCTTCTGAACCCATGGGTGGAGTAACTAATGAACAATGGAAGATCCAAAAGGAAAAGTTGGTTCAGGACTAGGATAATTACAGACTGATAATCAGCAAGGGACTAATCAACTGTTGGCTTTGATACTTTTGTCATAGGATATAACCCCACCCAATCGTCCAGAGTCCTTGAGAGAGACTCATTTCCTTCAACATTCCTGACAATGGATGAATTTATATATTTCTGATGAACTGCTCCTAGAAAATGTTGAGGACTTACCTAAGTCCCTCTGGATTTGATTCGTCTGTCAAACCAAAAGCCATCTTGCCATTTTGTCCCTGTCTTATAAATTCTTAGGAATTTGTAATGCAGAAATAGAGAGGGCTGAGCTATTTTTGGTTTATGTAGAGATAACATATAAACCCAGATACTTCGGAAAGTGAGGAAGGACACCATGAATATTTATGTTGAGACTGTCCCCAATAAGTCAGGAGACTTGGCTTCTGCAGAGTGACAGGTCTGTTTAGAGACAGGATTCTGAGAAACGGGCCCACCCAGGTGAACAACACTGTTTAGATGAAAGGGTCTCCACCCAGACGGCATATCCGAACTACTTAGAAGGTTGGGTAGAAATATCAAAGCTTGGGGCCACTCTCAGAGATTCTAGTTATATTGTTCTGAGATGGCACGAGTCTCATTATATAAAAGCTTCTCACACTTTAATCACCTACAACTAAGCACTCAGAGAATCAATGAACCTTGGCATAACCATCAGGATTCCTCCTGTCAGGGAGGTGTTGAGTAAAATAGGTTACCATTTTTAAAGTATCTGTCATGATAAGACTACTCTAGCGACCTTACATAGATCTGTTATATTCATCATTCCATTTCCTCCCAGGCAGGGTTAGTATCCTACAGCCCTGACTCAGTGGAACTATTGAGACCCATGGAAAAGATCCTTTCTAGACTGGAGAGTCAAACTAGGTTTTTGTTATAAGATATGCTGTTATCCATTAAATGGTTAAGGTCCACGAGAGAGGATATTTCTTCTTACTTGTTCCTGAGTGCACAGTATATCGGCAGACTTAGTTTTATTATTAGATTTGTCTTGTCATACGAACCAATTCTTTTGATTTTCTGGGTGTCAACAATTCAGTTCAATTCCATTCAGTCCAGTTCAGTTCACTTCTGACACAGTCTGAAATTAGCTCAGACCCCAGTCTGAGCTGGTTAGGCCCCAGTCTTTCAAGACCATCCCTACATTAGATGCTAGTCCCATCTCTCCTATGCCAACTACAAATTTAAGGCTTATTTTATGATCCTCCTTCAGGCTCAACAGTTCACTCAAATGATCCACCAGCATTCAGCAAGGGGTTTTACTGGTTATAAAGGACACAACTTGGAAACAGCCACATGGAAAAGAAGCACAGAGCAAGATATAAGAAAGGGTATGGCAGATTGGGATACTCTGTGCCCCTCCAGACTGAACAGTCTTTCAGTACTATAATGTGTTCCACATCAGTGGAACATAGCAGCAAGTTCTCCAAATCCTATTATTTAGCAAGTTCTGGAGGTTTCGGTAGCCAGGGATGATGGATGAAATCATGGATTCTTGGTTGTTGAACTCACCCTTCTTCAGGCCCTTCTTTCCTTCCCTGAAGCCAGGATCTGCAGCTCAAAGTTCCAACTCTCTGCCTGGGTAGTAGCTTTAGCAATCAGCCTCTAACCTGAAGTCTCCCAAGAGTTGCTTCATTAGTATAACATCAGATATGGTTGGAGTGTGAATGACAAAAAAGAACCACTCTGTACCAGGAACTGGGGACAAAGCCCAAATGTAATTTTTTTTAATTGTGAAAATACTGTACAGAGGGGTTACAATTACATGGGCAAGATAATGAGTACATTTCTTATCAAGCATTGTAGCCTCCTCCTTTGTTTCCCCTTCCCATCCCTTCCCATCCTCCCCCATCCTCTCCCCCCAAGCGCCCCCACCTAAAACTCCTCCCCCCCCACCAAAGTTGTAAAGTTCATTTTCGACATAACGACTTGTACATCTC